GTTCCGACCCGGTCCTGCATTTATGGAAAATCAGTCTTGGCTAGCTGAAGCATCTGATTCCTCCAGCATCTCCCGGCTACGGCAGGCGGCAGGTGGGGCGACTCTGTGTACAGGACGACTGGAGTTCTGGATGCGAAAGGGAGGCAGGCAGCTCCGTCCTAAAGCGACGCAATCTTCCTACCATGGGCTCCTGGGGGAGGAGAGCCTGGACATTGTCAGGGCCTAGCCCTTGGTTGTAAAATCTTGAGTCTCCAGCACTTGTCCTGGAGGGCCCTGGGAGGCGAAGCCCTGCCCCCTCACACCCTTCCAGGTGGGCAGCCCCTTGAAGCCATGATGTGGGTTAGAGAATGGCAGGTGGGGCCCCCGCTGAACCCTGGGGAAGCGGGGAGCCCTCCATTTTCTGCCCACATTTGTTTCCTCCAGTTTTGCTACCTGTCCTAGGGGCACCGGGCACCGAGAGCAGGCAGGCCTGGAGAGGAAGACAGACCTGGACAGGAATATTTTCTGGCTGAGAAAGGCAGTGAGAGGGCCTGTGCAGGTGGTGGTGGGAGCTCAGAAGGAGCAGCGAGGGCCTGAGTTTGGGAGGCTTCCTGGAGGAGGCACTAGGAAGCAGCTCCCTAGGCCCCCAATGGGTGTTTGTTGAATGAATGCTTGATGGATTTTGAAGTCTGAGTGCATTGAGAGGGGGGGTGTAGAAAGGATCCTGCTGCTTTCACTGCACTAGGCACAGCGTGTGCGAAGGCCCTGCCTGTGGAAAAGCCAGACAGGTTTTAAGGCCTAAAAATCTCCATGGGTTTCAGTTTATATAGTCAAAGTTGGAGGGGAGTGGTTTGGAGATGGGAACCTCATGAGATATTCCTCCTTCCCTTTGAGGAGAGTGGGTTGCTTCCTTGGGGGTGGGGAATCCCTCTCTGCTGGGCTCCATCTTCCAATCTCAGGGGGATCTCTGGGGCAAACCTGGGCTGATGTAAACAGTCACCTCCCCTCTGCTCCTCTTGGCTCTGGGGAAGGAAAGAGAGATGGCGAGTGTGTGGGCTTCCAGATGAAGATCCAAGCAGGGCCAGGCCTAGGGTGAGGTACTCACTCTGAGGCAAGATTTAGATACATAATATATTTTAATGCAATATTTTAAAATAAAAATAATGCCAAAAATCCATGATAAACAAAATATCAAAATTTTACTACGTAAAGACAGAGGCGGACCCTGCACTTGCACAACCCTGCTTCATTTGCCTCCCAGACAGGCCCCTGTCTGCCCCAAAGAGAGGCTGAAGAACCAGTGTCCATGCAGAGAGTTTGGACGGTATGTGAGGGCAGTGTAGAGCATGGGAGTGAAGGGTAGGAGCTATATTTAAAAGAACCCCTCTGGCCCTAGCCTGTTTGGCTCAGTGGATAGAGCATCAACCTGTGGACTGAAGGGTCCCAAGTTCGATTCCAGTGAAGGGCTCATGCCTAGGTTGTGGGCTCGATCCCCAGTGTGGGGTGTGCAAAAGGCAGCTGATCAATGATTCTCTCTCATCATTGATGTTCCTATCTCTCCCTCTCCCTTCCTCTCTGAAATCAATAAAAATATGTAAAGTACATAAATAAAAGAACCCCTCTGGCAGTTGGTGAGAAGGTAAACTTAACCAGCAGGCCCCACTGGGGGAGATGAGGAAAGGCAGGTGGGCTGGGAGGAGGGTCATACTTCTCCTGTCTGCCTTCCTCCTGTTCTCCCTCCCCCTCAGGCTTTGGGCAGTGCTACTCTAAGTGTGGTCTAAGGAACCACTGTGTCAGAATCCCCTGGGGGTACTTGTTAAAAAATGCAGACTTCTGGGATACCATCTCACATCTACTGAGTGAGAGTCCCTGGAACTTGCATTTTTTACCCATTTATTGAAATAAAGCTTACATACCTAAAATTCATCCATTGATAGACTATATCAAGATGATTTTTTTAGTAAATTTCTATTTGCATAGTCATAACTACATCCATTTTTTAAATCCTTACCTGAGGATATGTTTCATTGATTTTCTTTCTTTTTTTTTTTTTAGAGAGAGAGAGAGACATCAATTAGTTACCTCCCATACGCACCCAACTGGGGATCAAACCCAAAACCTAGGTGTGGGCCCTGACCCGGACTCCAACCCGCCACCTTTTGGTGTGTGGGATGACACTACAAACAACTGAGCCAGCCAGCCAGGGCATACCCACATCCATTTTTAGACATTTCCATCACCCCCAAAATTCCTTTATTTGTGGTTAATCCCCATTCTCACCCCAAGCTTTAGGCAACCACTATCAGCTTTCTGTCTACAAATTTGCATGTTTTAGATATATTATATAAATGGAGCATATAAATATACAGACTTTTGCATCTAGCTTCTTTTACTTAGCATAATATTTTGAGGTTCATTCACACTGTAGCATGTATAAGTCTTTTTTCAAAATTGCTGAGCAAGTATTCAATTGTATGGATGCAACACATTTTGTTTATTCATTCATCAGTTGATGACTTGGTGTTTTCGCTTTTTGGCTATGATGAATAATGCTGCTATAGTCATTCACATACATGTCTTTGTGTGGATATACGTTTTCATTGCTTTTAGCTAAATTCCTAAAAGTGGAAATGCTGGATTTTATGGTAAATTTGTGTTTAAATTTTTGTTGTTGCTAATCCTCACCTGAGCGTATTTTTCCATTGATTTTTAGGGAGAGTGTAAGAGAGAGGGAAAGACAGAGAGAAATATCAATGTGAGAGAAACACATCAATTGGTTGCCTCCCACATGAGTCCTGACCGGGGCTGAGGATCGAACCTGCAACCCAGGCACGTGCCCTTGACTGGGAATCGAACCCACGAAACTTTGGTGCACAGGCTAACACTCTAACCACTTACCCACACTGGCCAGGGCAGTCGTGTTTAATTATTTTTTAATATATCTTATTGATTTTTTACAGAGAGGAAGGGAGAGGGATAGAGAGTTAGAAACATCGATGAGAGAGAAACATCAATCAGCTGCCTCCTGCACACCCCACTGGGGATTTGCCCGCAACCAAGGTACATGCCCTTGGCTGGAATCGAACCCGGGACCCTTCAGTCCACAGGCCGACGCTCTATCCACTGAGTCAAACCGGCTAGGGCTGTGTTTAATTTTTTAAGAAAATGCCAAGCTGTTTTCTAAAGTGGCTGTTCTATTTTACATTCCCACTAGCAATGTTAGGGTTCCAGTTGCTCCACATTCTCACCTACACTTGATATTGTCTATTGTTTTCATTATAGCCATCCTAGTAGTATCTCAGTATAGTTTTAATTTGCATTTCCCCAGTGATTAATGACATTGAGCACTTTTTCATGTTTAAAAATACAGAGATTTCTCATAGAAATCCAGAGTTTTGATCTCACCAGCAAAAACAAACAAACAAACAAACCAGGATCTCCAGCAATGTCGGTATGTCCAGCATGGTGAGAGCCAAGTGGCAGCTTTGCACAGGGAAGCGCCAGTCACCAGTTGCCCACATCTTGCTGACATAGGTTACCTACTGTGCTTCCCCTTTGGAGTCTAGAGCTGTGCTATCTACTGTGGAAGCCGCTAGCCACATGGGGCTAGTGGGCACTTGAAATGTGGCTAGTCTGCATTAAGATAGGTCGTGAGGGTAAAATATGCATTGAATTTTGAAGACTAAGCATAAGAAAACAATGTTTAGTAGCCCAGTAGTAATTTTTAACATATTGATTATGTTTCAGTGATAATATGTTTGATATAGTGGGGTAAATAAAATACATTAACCTTGCAAGTTTCTTTTTACTTTTTAAAATGGGGCTCTGAGAAACTGTAAATTTACATACATGGCTCACAGTATACTTCTGTTGGTCGGTGTGGGTCAAGAGGCTAAAGGGTAAGCCGAGGACCAGGCAAGAGGGGTAGGCATGGCCAGGCTATAAAGGAGGGTGAAGTAGGGTCTAATGATGGTTAGGATGTGAGCTCTGGAGTCCATGATCAGAGGCTGTGCTCCTGATTGCCATGCCCAACTGAGTTTTTTCATTTTAAAATGGGGTGGATAATGGCATCCACTCCCCAGAGCTGTTCATGTAAAGCACTGGGTATAGAGTCGGTACTTCCTGAAGGACAGGGGACATCATTTTGCCCAGCTATGGAGCTGGACTTTGTCTCTCAGGGCACTGACTGGACACTGACCAGTTTTAGGCTGGAGAGTGATGTGTGTTTAAGAAAGTTCCCTCTGCAGCAGGGCAGGGAGACCAGAGCAGGGATTGTGCTGAAATTCAGGCAGGAAGTGAGTGTCTGTGCATACATGGAGAAGGGGCAACATTCAGGGCACGTGGAGAAATGAAAACCTAGGACATGGTGATGGATGGGATGTGGTGGGAGAGGCATCACTGAGTGTGAAAGGCATCACTGAGGTTTCTGACTGGGGGACAGGGGAAGGGGGAAAGGCACACCCAGAGAGGGAAAAGCTGGAGGGGCTCTGCCAGGCTCGGTCCTGGTCATCCTCGTCTGCCTCTGCATTCCCAAGGCCCAGCACAGCTCCTGGCACACAGACACTCAGCAAATACTTGCCGTATGGCTGGAGGGCTAAGAGCCCTGTCTTTGAGACCACAGTCCAGGGCTTGCTGCTGGTTCTAAGTCTACCAGCGGTGTGAGCTCAGGCATACTACTTCACCTCTGTGGGCTTCAGTTTTCTCATCTGCCAAATGGGAATAATAAATGTAGCCGCCTCGTGAGTTCTGAGGATTCAGTGAGGTTGTTGGTGTAAGCTCATAGCATAGTGAGTGCTCAGTAACTGTAGGCCCCAGACTCCCCACATGACCCCCCCTCCCCCAACACACACATAAGACATCCTTTTTTTTTTTTTTTTTTTTTTTAACACCAAGGCTCTCACTTCCTTGAAAGAAGCTAAGCCTCAGGGGAAATACGTGTCTCAAGTGTTCTCTCTTCCTTCTGAAGCTGAGCAGGAAGATGGAGGTTACACTGCAGGAAGAACTTTCTTTTAGAGGCAAGGATGTCCAAGTGGGTTTTAGAAAATCAACTTCTCAGATTCCCTTCTCTGCCCTTTGTAGCTGTTGGGAGATAATTAAAGAGCATTTGGAGGAGGGGGCCAGAGGGTGTCTCTTTCTTCCTGGTCTCCTTGAGCATCCCAGAGTGACTGAGCAGGAAGGGGCCAGGGCTGGAGGCCTAATGGGGCTGTAACCTCCCTGTCCTCTCACTGCTTTGGGGGAGGTGAAGACATAGGATCACAAGTGGGCAGGGGGGAGCTGGGGACTCCTTGTGATTGCCCAGATCTGGCTGGGCCCTGCCACAGTGACCCAGGAATCCTGCCTGCAGCTCAGACCCCATCTCCTCATCTCCAGCTCCCTCTCTGGTCACACATCCCAAAACCCCAAGAGTCTGCTGGGGCTGTTTGAGTTTTAACAGGGCACCAGCCTGGCTTGGTGAAGGGAACACAGGTTCAAGAACCAGACAGCTCTAGGTCCAGTTTTACCACCCATTAGTTGAGTGAGTCACATTAATGTCAATGTGCCTCGGTTTCTTCCTTGATAAAGCAGGGATCGTAGAACCTTCCTCTGAAAGATGCTGGGACATTTAACTGTGCCTGTGTGCACAGCATGTAGCATGGTGCCCAGCTCAGAGCGGGTGCTCCATCAAAGTGCTCCCTCCACAGCTGCTAGAGTCCTGAAGTCCCTGGCTCAGTGTTGTCTTTCTCCTTTGCTCTTGCTTCTGCTCCACAGTCCCCATCCCCTCCAAAGCCAGCAGCCTCTCGGCCCTCTCACTGGCCAGAGACAGCCTGGTTGGCGGCATCACGAACCCCAGTGAGGTCTTCTGCTCCGTGCCAGGCCGGCTGTCGCTGCTCAGCTCGACATCCAAGTACAAGGTGACAGTGGGGGAGGTCCAGCGGCGACTCTCGCCTCCCGAGTGCCTCAACGCCTCACTCCTGGGTGGTGTCCTTCGCAGGTAGGAAGGTCAACCCACAGCTCCCTGCACAGTGTTTGGGCCAAAATCCGTGGCCATCTCAGACCTCCTCAGGGGATCAAGGAGGGTCCAGCCTCACCCCAAGCCACAGGGCCACCTATGCCTCAGTCTCCCGGAGGGGAGGTCCAGGTCCCCAGCAGCAACTACAGGTCTGAGGCCTTGAGGGTGGGGTGTGGAGGAAGAAGCCTGGGCATAGAGGAAGGTTGGAGTCCTGGAAGAAGAGTGCCCTCTTTACCCCCTCCTCCAGAAAAGGGACCCCCCAAGACCCAAAGCACATCCCCTGTGGAGCAGAGGCCTCTCTTGTGTGTGTGCGTTTTGGGGCCCATAGTTATCTTCTAGTTGTGTGTCTGTCTCCCTTTGTGCATATCTTTGTGCCTACATAGGGCTGAGTCTTGGTGTGCCTGAGGATGGTGTGTGCATGTGTGTGCATGCACGAGTGCATGTTTGTGTGTGTGTGTGGTATAGGGGGTGGCTAGGAAGATATGTTCCATGAATGTGAGTTTCCTGTGTTACTTTCAGTGGGATGTGTTGGATGGAGTGTGTCCTACCCTGTGTGTATGTGATCACATGTACATCTGGAGCTAGACATGTGCATGTACCTCTGTGTGGGGGCTGCATTTGTGCAGGTATGGGAGTATCTCCTTATTCCTGGTCTCTTCGAGCAGCCCAGAGGGACTCGTGTGAATGTGTGTCTGTACATGTCCCTGAGATCCTGACTTCGTGTGAACATTTGTCTCTGTGCCCCTATGTGTGCCTGGTGTCTGAGTCTCTCTCTGTGTGTCTGTCTCTATTGGGGTGTGTTTGTTCTTGGCCCTCAGTGTGCGCTCATCTGTGTATGTATCTACATGTATCTGTGCATGTCTGCTTGTCCCAGTGTATCTGTATAAGGGTCTCTGTGTCCCTGGGTAGCTGTGTGTGGCCTGGCTGGCATGCGAAGGTGGGAAAAAGGCCTATCTTGCCACACCCCGGGCTATCCTGCTATTGAGAGCGTTAGGGAGAAATGAGGGGCTCCTGGAGCTAGGCCCCCTACCCTCCATCTTGGCTACAAAGCCAGGGAGGTTAGAGAGAGGTTGGGGCCAGACTGAAAGAGGCCCCCGACAGTCCCCAGGGCCAGACCCAAGCCTCAGCAGGGGTTGGTGGAAGCAGCAAGGTCACTTAGCCTGCATCCTTCTCTCTTGTCTTCATAGTGTGTGTCTGTCTCTCTTTGTGCACGTGAAGGGCCAAGTCCAAGAATGGAGGCCGCTGCCTGCGGGAACGGCTGGAGAAGATTGGGCTCAACTTGCCAGCTGGCCGACGCAAGGCCGCCAACGTGACGCTGCTCACTTCACTGGTGGAGGGTGAGTGAGGCCGGAGGGTGTGCGCTGAGGCACGAGGGGACCTGTGTCATCCAGTGTGACTGTGTGTGATGGTCTCCAATGCAGGAGGGTGTGTATAGTTACATCTTTGTTCGCTGTCATGTATGAGGAAGTGCTGTGTATGATATGTATGTACAGCCTGTGTGTGTGTGTGTGTGTGTGTGTGTTCATGTGCCCATTGCAATCAATAGAGAGCATGTGTGTGTATGGTGGGGAGAAGTGGCCAGTGATTGGATGAGGGAAAGGGATAAGGGGGTTAGAGTACTTTCCCTGGAGGTTGGTGACTCTGGGTGTGATTATATGGAGCTCAAGCTTTGGGATACAGGGTGGGCTCAGCTCCCATTCCTGAACTCAGAGCCCATCCCTGGTGGCCCCAAAGGATGGCAATGGGATTGCTGGAGTAGGAAACCAGAGGAAGGTATCTATAGAAGCAAGATAGGGTAGGATGGACCCTGGCCAGGGGGTCAAGGTTCAAGGTGGTGCTCCAGTCTCAAAGGTACACCTGGCTGTAGTGAGAGCTCACCTCTTTGCCTCTCCTCCTCCCAGGAGAGGCCATACACCTGGCCCGAGACTTCGGCTACATCTGTGAGACCGAGTTCCCAGCCAAGGCAGCTGCCGAGTACCTGTGCCGACAGCATGCTGACCCTGGGGAACTGCACAGCCGCAAGAACATGCTGCTGGCTGCCAAGTGAGTGAGGGTGCAATGTAGACACTTTTGGACACTATGCACAGGCTGTCGTGGGTGCCATGAACAGGCACATGTAGGTGCAATGCACAGACCCCACGCATGGGCACAAGTGGCACCACACACAGCACACCTACACTCAATGCTGTGCATGCTACATGGACATATATGAATATATCTGGGTTCTGTGAATCAGCAAAAATGGTGTCATAGATAGGCTTACATAGTCTGTGCCACGCTCCCATACACTGTCTGTGCCCCATGACACCACCAGCCCTAGTCCCATCATGGCTCTGAGGTTCCATGGTCTTGCTCCCTCTGCCTGCGCCTTACCCATCAGCCCTTCTGTTCCAGTGATTTCCATGAGGGCACCCATGCCCACCCAGGCCCCAGGTTGATCACCCCTTGTCCTTACTTCACATGTAACCTCTCTGCAACTCTCGTTGTTGCCTCCCTCACCACCCTAGTCTTCTAATCTCTTTCCTGGATCTTCACTCCAGCACCCCACTATTCCTTCAGATTCCCTGCACATGCACTGCCCCCCTGCCCAAGAACCTTCAATAGCTCCCACTGCTACTGCACTGATTTTCAAACTAGATTCTGTGGGGATGCTTCTGGGTCTGTTTAATGAACTGCTATTTCATTAAGGTTTAGTTTTTAGAAAGAATCTCAGTGCAAGAAGAGACAGAGTGAGACATAGAGAGGAAAGAAATAAAAACATTTGAAAACCACCAATCCATTGGGTAAAGTCCAGACTCCTTGGAGGACCCCACAATCCAGCCCACACAAACCCTACCCACTCCAATTGATCTCTCTGCCCTCCCATCCTTGGGCTTGCTCTCCTGCTTAGAACACCAGCCAGTACCCCCACCTAATGCAGTCTTTCAAATGGCAACTCTACCCTCCCCTCTTTGAGGCTTCCTCAAGTCCCCTAGGCAGAAATGGAATCACAGACTCAAGGGACTTCCATGACTCATGAGACCGTTGAGACTGCTCATATTGTAGCTGAAGAAACACATCTAGGGCAGGGCTCACCTCACCCATTAACCAGCCAACTTATTCAGCACTACTAGGTCCCACTCATGTCTAAGATGCTGACTGGGTTCCATGGTGACACAAAGGTGAGACAGTGGTGATTCTTCTGCCTGAGCCACACACAAGATGCACAAATAAACAAATAATGGCTGCAAACGAGAGCTGGATTCAAATCCCAGCTTTGCCTACAGCCTGGATCATCTAACCTAGTGGTCACCAACCGGTGGTCCGCCCACTAGTGGTCTGTGGGGCCCGAAAGGTTGGCGACCGCTGATCTAACCCATTTGAAACCAGTTTCCTCATCATACGATGGGATGATAATAGGAGTATAGATTTGTTGTGAGGACTAAGTGAGATGATACACTTGGCACAGCATCTATGGTAGGCCTCAATTCATGTTCACTATGAGCTATTATTTCAGTTATTCAAGGCAGATTCTAGATTGTTCCCTAATAATTTCAAAGCTCTGTGAGGCACTAGTATTTGGAGTGGGGGTAGGATTGGGAGAGTGGATCAAGGAAAGTTTCCTGGATAAGGTGGTAGAGCTAGACTTTGAATATGAGCAGGATGTCCACAAGAAGAAGGATCCTAGGGTATTGGCATGTGCTGTTCACTACCTGTGGGACAAATCAGTTAATGTCTCTGAACCTTAGTTTCCTTTTCTGTAAAATGGGTATGACCACCATTTGCAGACTATTGGCAGGGTCAACAATCATAAATATAATATAAATAAAGTACCCAGAACATGGTAGGTCCTTCTCTGGGCTCAGACCTCTGACCTCTAACCTCTGACCCTTTTTCCCTCACCAGGAAGATCTGTAAGGAGTTTGCAGACCTGATGGCTCAGGACCGCTCGCCACTGGGCAACAGCCGCCCTGCTCTCATCCTGGAGCCCGGAGTGCAGAGTTGCCTGACACACTTTAGCCTCATCACCCATGGTTTCGGTGGGCCAGCCATCTGTGCTGCCCTCACCGCCTTCCAGAACTACTTGCTGGAGTCACTCAAGGGGCTGGACAAGATGTTTCTAAGCACTGCGGGCAATGGGCATGGTGACACTAAAGCTTCAGAGAAGGATGCCAAGCATCGGAAATAACCGCTTCCCAGGCCCCATCCCTAAGGGGCTCCCAAGGCCTGAAATAAGGTCTTAGCTCCTGGGGGTGAGCCTGAAAGGATTAAAACGAGGGGTTAGAGTAAGGCCAGAAAGAGAGCATTCATCCAGAGACCCCCCCCCGAGTTAGGGACCTGGGCTGGAAAAGGTGGGGATGGCCTCTCTGTGGTGGTTTGATATAAGGGCCCTGTTGTTTGCAATTTTCTGACCCTGGTTTGCTAAGTGCTTGAACAGGAAATTGGCATGGTTCTTGGGGCTGAGCCCTCCCCATTAGGGCGCTTGGGCAGTGGTGGGTACTCTTAGGGTCCAAGGCCTTGCTGTTTTTACTGATGGCAGGAGGAAAACTCTTGACAAACCAGAGGTGCTCCTGAGTTGGCACCCTTCAGCCCAGAATCTTGACCCTCAAAAATGGGGTGCTGGCAGGAAAACTCCAATGGGTTCTTTGGACCCCTCCCACTCTTGGAAAGAAGTGGGCAGGAACAAAGAAGACAAAGCACAAATTGTAGAACTTGAATCCAGGCTGCACTTCACAGCCCTGTCATTGTCTGCCCTATTTATTTGTGTGTTGTAATTAAATTTGAAAGTTTTAAAATGTCCAGTGCAACTGATTTATCCCAAGTTGAAAATTCGTTTCACTATTTTCTGCTCATGCTCCGAGATGTCCAGCTAGACCAGGATGGAGAGGGTGTTTCGGTTCAAAGGAGTGTTGGGGGACAGGGAGCCAGCGGGAAGAAAGACGTGTTAGGGACCCTGAGGTTGTCGCTGGGATTTTGTATTTGCTTATGTTTCCTTTGACTCTGCGGGTCGATGCACCTCCCCAACTCTCAGAATGCTTTCTCATTCTCATAATAAAACCTTTCCATTGAATGTGAAGACCCCCTCTCCCCCTTCAGCCCACGTCTGGATTTGCCTCCCAAGGGAGAGTCCTAGGAGGGGCCTGTGTGAGAGGGGGTACAGATGGTGGGTCTATTTGGCTTGTCAGTGTGGCTTTTAGTTCTGTGAGTGTGTGAAGTGACTCCTGGGTCTGTATGTACATTATTGTGACTTGGTGGGTCTGCGTGAATGTGTCAGTCATGGGCGGTGGGTCTGTATGTGTGTCAGTGTGAATGCTGGTGATTGTGTGTGTGTGTGTTTAGCCAATACTAATCCAGCTCTCTCATCTACTTGAGAATTTCACTCTTCAGGCATCATTTCCTTCCTGCATCATCAGTCTCTCCTTCTAACTAGTTTACTGTATCATTCCCCAAAGCACACATGTTCTAGGACCTCTTACCTTACAAAACATAAATCCTTTCCCCATATATTTCCCTGGCAGTAAAGTTTTTGAAAGACTGTATACCCCTAACCCCACTTCACTCTTCAACCCACTTCAAACAGTGGTATTGAAGGTTGAACTAGCGATGGTCATATGAATCATCTTTTCCCTCATTTATACAATTAACTTTCTTCTTATGGTATAAAGCATTTATCATTGGTGTATTAAAGTGTGTGACATTTAAATCTGATAACACTGTTAACACACATGTTCTGATCTGCAGGTAGTATCTGAGAGATGATATTCCACTTCACATGAACCCAAACCCTACCTTTATGTGGGATTAAGAGTAGCACAGAATTGGATAAAATAGGGTTGTTGTTTTTTAAATTAAATCTTTATTGTTCAGATTATTACAGTTGTTCCTCTTTTTCCCCCCATAGCTCCCCTCCACCCGGTTCCCACCCCACCTTCTGCCCTTACCCCCACCACCCACTGTTCTCATCCATAGGTGTACAATTTTTATCCAGTCTCTTCCCACAGCCCCACACCCATTTCCACCCCCCCAGAATAGTCAGTCCACTCCCTTTCTATGCCCCTGATTCTATTATATTCACGTGTATTCTGTTCATCAGATTATTTATTCACTTGATTTTTAGATTCACTTGTTGATAGATGTGTATTTGTTGGTCATAATTTGTATCTTTACCTTTTTCTTCTTCTTCCTCTTCTTAAAGGATACCTTTCAGCATTTCATATAATACTGGTTTGGTGGTGATGAACTCCTTTAGCTTTTCCTTATCTGTGAAGCTCTGTATGTGTCCTTTGATTCTAAACGATAGCTTTGTTGAATAGATTAATCTTGGTTGTAGGTCCTTGTTTTTTTTTTTTTTTTTCACTTTAAATACTTCTTGCA